ATTTCCACTAAATAACAAAAGTACATCAAAATGATTGAAGCTAAGGGCATACAAAACTGTCTAACAGAAAGAACATGAACAAACTTGTTCCTAGACCATTTGRTTTTGACATTCTGTGCTGAGCTTAGTACTTTATGAAATATCTTATTCTCTCTGTATTGTATCTCAGACATAATCGAGATATTTCTAAAGGAACTTACATAAGAAATGAGCTTAGTACTGTTTGAAAGAGATGAGAACTCTTTAGGAACTTACATAAGAAATTTCCAAGTTCATTTTTCATTGTTGGAATTTATACAGTTTCTTTTCCAAGATTATCTTAAGATCTTCATATACTACTTTTTTTATTTTGCTTGATACATCATCACTTCATTGCTATTTTTTCATCACCTCACTGGTCTTGATCTGGTCTTCACCAATCAAGGAGCCATTTCTTTAGTTTTCCACAAACTCTAGACAATACCAATCAGGTTGTCCCCAACTATCAGATAAATGGATTTTTTTAGGCTGCAATGACAATGTGGGCAACCCTTTCAGTGGCAGTATACCAAGGTGATGTATATGTTCTATAGAATAAAAAAATGTCTATTAGGATTTGGCCTTAGATTGTTATGGATAAGTGATCAGTGGAAAAATGCAAACTGATGAGAGAAATCATTAGTTGAACTGTCCACAAAATGATAGATATAGACATGGAAGAAGTAACCTGGAGGAGCATATTTGCAACAAAGATTTGAGAATTGAACAAGGCATCAAACCAAAAAGCTGTCTTGTTCATGGTTTTCATGCCTTATCCGGGTAGTTTAAATGCATAACCACCAAAACTAATCAGAACTGTTGAACCAAAGAGGTGTTTGGTTCCTAGTTTTCCTAGTTCAACCAAGCCATCCAATATGATTCTTAAAGCATTGATTTGCATGGCAGAATTTTTGTTGTCTTGTAGTTTTGGATAACTCTAGCTTTTTGTAGTCTTCTATTTAAAATTGTCATGAGTCTATTATTGATCTAGAGAGTGAATCAATGGTTGAGACTACAAAGCTGAAGAGTGAAGATGAATTACCATTTCTCATTGCTCTAAGTCCTGAAGAGTGAAACTAAAGGAGTCAGCACCAAACATATATAAAGCAATAAGTTTGGAGTCACTAGAGATGAAAGAATCAACACCTTCACAAGTTTGGAGTCAGCACCAAACATATCAGAAGAGGAAACTCTTCAGCTATTATTTATGCCTCTTTTATAGAAAAAAAAACTATTTTTTTCATTTTAATAACAATGACAACAAGGTTTTAATCATAAAAGCTGAAGAAATGTCTCAAATATTTCAGCCTGATAAAGGAGAAAGGCAGCTAAGTCCTCAATGTCCTTTGTTCATAGGTCACAAGATGTGTCAATACAAAAGAAGAACTGCTAAGCCCACAAGAGCAGAAAACCCTAGAAGTAATTGTAGAAGCAAGGTGATAGCATGTTTCCTTTAGTCATTCTCTTTGGAAACTTACATTCCCTTTTCTTTTTCTTTTTTTTTTTCTTGCAGCAAATACCCCTTGTCCATTATCCTAGTTGGAGTTGGAGATGGCCCTTGGGACATGATGAGGGAATTTAATGACAACATCTTTGCTTGAGCCTTTGATAATTTCCAGGTATGTGGTACATATGGTTTATGGAATTTAAGCTTTCATCCCTTGTTAATTTGTCATACTCCAGTTAATAGTTTTTTGAGTGATTTGATTAGGGATGATTGTTTTTTCCTATTCAGTTTGTAAGTTTTACAGAAATCGTGTCGAAGAATATACTAGTTTACAAAAAAGATGTAGAGTTTGCTCTAGCATCTTTGATGGAAATACCTTTACAATATAAAACAATGATGAGGCTTGATTTTTTATTTAGGTAAATTTTGTATAGATATAACTTTAATTTGTATTCAAATTGCAAGAAGGGTCACTTGATGCTTGATTCATTTTCTTTTGTTTTTTGACTTATTATATTTTATTTTTTGAAGGAATGAGACATGCTCCAAGTATTCTATCACAAGACAGTTACATGTAAAGTAAAGTTAGAGCTCTTCAAGATGTGGAATCAACCTCTCAAGCTATTCATCATTTTCAACCAATTCATTACAATGGTTACTTAACCCAAGACATAGCTTTAGATGTGGGTGGATACATTGAACCAAATTTCTATGTGTTAATTGTATTATTTATGATAGAAGTTCGAAAATTGTATTATATATTTAACACATTTGTGTATAAATATAGTTGGGATGTAATTCAACAACAGTTCACATGGTTTGTTGCTTAAAATATTTATGAGAAACATTTATTAAGTTGTGTCTACTTTACAATTAGCAACACTTGACTTCATTGTTGTGTATGAAATCTTAAGGTAACAAGTGTTTGATTGTTAGTAATTCAACAATAGTTCATAAAAATTGTTGCCATAAATATTTATAAGAAACAATTGTTCAGTTGTTGCTAATTTATAATTGGCAACAATTAACTTGATCGTTGTATAAGCAACTTTGGGCATTGTTGCCCATTCAATAACATTTTATACAAGCCTACGATGATTGTTAGATACAACTTTTCAACCGTTGCAAATTTACAATTAGCAACAGCTAACATGATTGTTAGGGATTGTATCATTAGGCAACAAATAATCGGTTGTTGTTAAAAAGTTATATAGGTAACAGAATTTTATACATTGTTGCTAAAACAATTTGTTTGGTGACACTTGTAAATGGTTGTTGCAAAACATTATTTTTGCCAGCAATTGGATCGGTTGTTGTGAAAAATTACATTTCGCAACAATTGATTGTTGCAAAACACTTTTAACAACGGCTTCGCTAGCAATAGCGCTTTTAGTTGTAAGTAAAACATTTGGCAATAGTTTTTCCTATATTAGAAACAATTTTTGACTGTTGACAATGGTCAATTTTCTTGTAGTATATATATTGATGTATGTGGTCCCATGAATGTTAGGACACGTAACCAGCATGTTTATTTCATAAATTTCTTTGATGATTACTCTCGGTATGGTTACGTGTACCTAATGAGACATAAGTCTGAATCCTTTGAAAAGTTCAAAGAGTTCAGACAAGAGGTCGATAAACAGCTGGGGAGACAAATCAAAACCCTTCGATCAGATCGAGGAGGTGAATATCTCTCCGATGAATTCATGGACTACTTAAAGGACAATGGGATTGTATCACAACTAGCTCCTCCTGCTACACTACAACTAAACGGTGTGTTAGAGAGGAGAAACCAAACTCTATTAGATATGGTCCGATCACTCCTTGTTCACTCAGAACTACCTATATCCTTTTGGGGGTACGGATTGGAGATTGTGATTTACATGTTAAATCGGGTTCCAACTAAATCCGTTCTCAAGACTCCTTATGATCTATGAACCGGTAAGAAACCAAGTGTAAGACACTTGAAGATTTGGGGTTGTCCAGCACATGTTAAAAGAACAAGTGCTGACAAATTGGAATCTAAGACCATTCGTTGCTTATTTGTAGGCTACCCCAAAAGCTCTATAAGATACCTATTCTATGACCCAAGAGAATAAAATGTGTTTTGTAGTCGAAATGCCTACTTTTCAGAAGAAGATTACATACTAGATAATCATCGTTAGGAAATTGTTCTTGATGATGAGAGCCCAGGAGTAGTGACAGATATTCCACAGGTTCTAGATAATTCCAAACTTATAAGGTCTACCCGGGTTTCTAGACCTCCAGTTCGTTACGACTATGATCAAGAAAGTTACTTGATGGAAGCCACGATCGGTGAGGGAGATCCCTTAACTTATACGGAAGCTATGTTGAACATAGATTCCTTGAAGTGGGTAGATGCCATGAAAGCCAAGATGGACTCAATGGAAACCAACAAGGTCTGGACTCTCGTATACCCACCCCTGGGGTGAAAGCAATTGATTGCCAATAGATCTACAAGAGGAAAAAGGGCTCTGATGGGAAGGTTGAATCCTATAAAGCTCGTCTTATAGCGAAGGGAGAGGTCCTTTCTTGTCGGGTAGTGTTTGATCATTATGGGCTGAGAGGTTAAATGCAAAACCATTTAGGGATAATAAACCTAATGGGCTAATCTCACATCTGCCCATAGTCCTTGGAACTTCATAAGATGGCTGGACCCAATGACCATTTAGTGTAAATGTTGCGCCCATTAAGAGCCTATACTGATGGACTCAGGGGTTCATTGTATTCAGCAGTGAATTCGGCCAAACCTTGTAACAGAGGCTAGGCTGAACCCATGTGGCTTATGTGGGGATCGATGATAGGGTCCCACGCCATACAAAGAGAGCCAAGCTAGACACCATTAAAAGGAAGTGAGCCTAAAAGCTTAATGGGCCTAAAACCCATTTCGAACTAGGTTAATTGGATTAATTAAATAGGGGGCGAATTTGGGTATGGATCAACAAATAAGGATAAGAGGATTACTCTTATCCACTTAAAGGGTCTAGATGCAAATAAAGATTTGGATTAGGAAAAGCTTATCCTGATCTGCAGATAACATAAGGGCCTTATCACTTAAAGAGTCCAGATCCAAATAAAGATTTGGATCAAGAAACTCCTCATCAAATTAGGAGATTAACTCTTTAAGGTCTATATAAAGGAGGAGGGTGAACTGTATTAATACACACAATTTAATTGATTTTTCTGCATTCATTTTTCTCTCTCTATTCTTTCCGCCCTACCCCATTCGATCTCCACCTCTTAGAGTGATCAAGATTGGATCTTGATATAGTTTCTTAGTGGAAGAAACAATCTTGAAGCTGTGCTCACATCCCTACACAATTCTTGCTAAAGAATTGGGGTTCTTGCTGAAGAATCCACTTGCTGATCCTGTCTCACCCTAAGCTATGTCATCCTCACCCTAGTGACCAAATAATCCTAAAAGTGAGATGGAGCATAAAATGCACTCACTTCCATCAAGGAGAGAAAAATAAAAAAAGAGAAAAAAGAGAGAAAAGATAAAAATGTTTCCCTAGTTTACTACTTGGGTTTGTATTAGCAAAAATTGGACTGATTGATGGATGAGTCGTGTATGACTTGGTTGTGTTGATTTAACAATTTGCAATAGTTAACCTAGAATATTTGTGGAAAAAGATAAAGGAAAGTTGAGTTTAAAGTTTGGTAGGATAATTTGTTCATTTTTGCTTAAGTTTTGTCTTGCCCGAGGACGGACAAGGTTTAAGTGTGGGGGGGATTTGATAGTGTGCAGAATTTCCATATTATTTGTATTTTTTCTTACATAATTAGTAAACTAATTATAGATTTTATTATGTTTTATGTTTGAAATATTAATTAATAGGTTTTATTGTATTTTATGTAGGATATCACGATTTGAGCTGCAAATGATAGTGAAATCACGATTTGGGCTGAAGGCAGCTTGCAGCAAAGCCCAACACGTTGAAAAAGCCCAATAAGAATTCAACATGCAAGAAGTGGGCCTATTCCATCGATCCTAGTAGGATTCGGCTAAGATAGAGGCTGAATCATCAAAGAGTTTTATTAGATTCAACTTCTTGTTGTATTTCTAAAAAGAAAATGAAAGAAAGATTTAGAGTCCATCTTAGTTAAGAATTTCTAGTTAGAGATAAGGATAAGATTAGATCTGAATTAAACATTATCCCATTAGGGAATTGGACTCCCAATGGAGAGAGAACTCCTAAGAGGAGCTGGAGACAACCCTCTCCTAAGGCTATATAAAGGGGGGCGGACTAGCAAGAAATCATCACTCAATCTTGGAAACAAGAATTCAGCAATCAAAGGAGGAAAGAAGCAGAATACACCCCTCTCATCTGGAAGCTGTGAATTCCCCATGGAGTGTGCGTAAGCTTTTATTTTCTGGTTGAAGGTTAGGGAAGCTTGATTCTATAACATTGTGAGATCTAATTGATTTTTATTTCAGTTCATTGTTTATGAGTATTCATATGTTTTCTGCGATTTCCTATGAGGATTATTTTTATTGATTAATCAAGGAGGATCCCTTGCTCAGTCGATGAAAATAATCTATGGCCGATTAAACCATCAATTTCGTATATGATTGTTCGGTTTAATCATTGTGGCAAATAACATAAATTGATTATGGACATGTTTTCGATTTATGTTAGGAGGATATATGATCTGGTTTAAACGATCCGAGCTTGTGTGTTTGCTGACCAGAATTGGGTCTCTCCCCTCTTAATGTTATTAATAGATTAAATCCTAAGAGCTTGTTTAGGACTGTCTATTAATAAGAAAAGCAATCAAAGAGCTTGTTTTGGTTGCCGAGAATTTGAGTAGAGATTGGCTGTTAGAGCTTATTAATGGCTATAACCAATTTATTCATAAGCAGATAAATTCACCCTTGCATCGATGATAAATGGTAAGAATCAAAGATGAACTTATCCCTTCAACCAGAAGCTGCCTTCCATTAATTTAATCCTTGCATTCTTTTATTTTATTTTATTTTATTTTCCTTGTCTTTACAACAACAAACCCCCCTACTTCGTTCTCTTGGAAACAAATCCACCCAGTCCCTGTGGAGACGACCTTGCTCATCACTATATACAAAAATATTTAATTCAAACAGGACTTTTATCTTTGGTTGGATTTGACACCCACCACATGATCACCTCCTCTTTTGTGCAGGGGAAGGGAGGGGGATCGGTAGGTCATTCCTCTTCCCTGGAGCAGCATGTAGGGACCCTTCTTGGGTCCTCCATTGTTTCGAGGCTTTCAATCAACTGCATCGCTTCGTTCCTTCCATATGGTGTAGACTGCGTTAAGGTGGTCTTGATCATGCGCGTCGTTGTCTCCGCGCACCTTCATAATTGACTGAACATCTCTACTTCCATGTTCTCAATACCTATCCTGTAGGCGGGCTACATTCCTTGTATGCACTGTTCGATAAAACTTTTCTCCGTAGCTTATTTGTCAAAGACAGAATGAGTTAATTTTTGAAACCTCATGACATATGCCAAGAGGTCTTCTCCCAAACCCTGCTCTATGGTTCTCAGATCCACCATTGTCATCTTTCTTTCTAGGGTGAACCACTTTGACAAGAATCTTTTTGATAGTTCGCCCCACGAGTCGATACTGCTAGAGGTAAGGCTAACGAACCAGGTATACATCGAGCCAGTTAGGGATTTTGAAAATTCATGGACCTTGAGGTCCCAATCAAGAGCGAAGGATCCTAGGACATCTTCAAACTTGTTTATGTACTCTTGCGAGCTTCCCTTTT